TTGGCGCTGCGAGCAGGGTCAATTTACACTACTACAGTGTTTTGGCGTTGTCACCTAAGTCAACCCTAAACCACCACACTACTACAGTTTTTGGCGCTGCGAGCAGGGTCAATTTACACTACTACAGTGTTTTGGCGTTGTCACCTAAGTCAACCCTAAACCACCACACTACTACATAAAGTTTATTTGAAAAACACGCTTCATCACCAAAAGCTCGAAGCGCGGTACAAAGTCAACCATATTATAAAGAGAAATAAAAACAATATAAAATTTACCACATTTAAAAAACAGACGCAACAATATAAAACTACATGCGATCATACCCAAAAGTCTTTCATCCCGTTTCAACCCTAAGCAACACAGGCCAATATACATTTAGTGAAAAAGATGGTAGATAAAGATACCCCAGAAAGGTGTTTGCGAAATAGATGTGTTTTTAAATCGGTTTTAAAGGACTGGCTGTTTCTGAGAGCGACAGGAAGGGCGTTCCAAATTGTTGGGCCGGCAAATGCAAAAGTGCGCTTTCCGTAAGTCTCAAGGCGAACACACGGTATCGATATTTTGCCACTATCGGATGAGCGGAGCTCTCTAGTGGGTACATAAGGCGTCATGAGTGCTTTGAGATAAGATGGCGCCAGGTCATGTAAGTTGTAATAATTTTAACTCTACTTGGTTGGAGGGTGGGGGGGGGGTGGGAACCAATGTTCCCTCTAAGGTTTGTTAGTTCGTGTGCAAAATCATAAAGTTCTTTGCAAATTTTTACAGCATCAATTTTTTTGTGCGCAAAATTTTACAGCCTACAGATACAGACACACACTTAAGTGGAAATTAGCTGCGCGGTACTCAAAACTGCTGCGCGGCGTCTGTGAGATTGCTACGCGGCCGCGCAGCTTAAAGGGAACATGGGGGGGGGGCTATTTTTTAGAAAATCCATCTTTTGATATTATCCTCCTCCCACTTTTAATATCAAACAAAATTAATACAGAACATATTTTCCACGTTTCTGATGTAGGCCCTAGTGCAGTCGTCTCAACTCAAATCATCCGGGGGCCGCAGGAGGTAGAGTCTGAGTGAGACTAGGCCACATCATATCAAATATTCCACAAAAAAGTGATAACAAATTGAATGAAGTACAGCTGTTATAATCCGCTCAATCTTTACTAAAAACAACCACAAACATTCAAGGTTCTCAAGAACTAGGCCGCGCACGTTCTTCCTCCTACTCCTTGTTACCAGAGACTTTCTCCCTCCTACTCCTTGTTGCCAGAGACTTTCTTCCTCCTACTCCTTGTTGCCAGAGACTTTCTTCCTCCTACTCCTTGTTGCCAGAGACGTTCTTCCTCCTACTCCTTGTTGCCAGAGACTTTCTTCCTCCTACTCCGTGTTGCCAGAGACGTTCTTCCTCCTACTCCTTGTTGCCAGAGACTTTCTTCCTCCTACTCCTTGTTGCCAGATACTTTCTTCCTCCTACTCCTTGTTGCCAGAGACTTTCTTCCTCCTACTCCTTGTTGCCAGAGACTTTCTTCCTCCTACTCCTTGTTGCCAGAGACTTTCTTCCTCCTACTCCTTGTTGCCAGAGACTTTCTTCCTCCTACTCCTTGTTGCCAGAGACTTTCTTCCTCCTACTCCTTGTTGCCAGAGACTTTCTTCCTCCTACTCCTTGTTGCCAGAGACTTTCTTCCTCCTACTCCTTGTTGCCAGAGACTTTCTTCCTCCTACTCCTTGTTGCCAGAGACTTTCTTCCTCCTACTCCTTGTTGCCAGAGATCTTACAGCGCTTCTTCTTACACGGCTCAGCAACATTTGGCTTAGGCGAGGAAGCAGCTGTCACCCTCAGTATAGCTTGAAGATGCTCATCAGTTAGTTTGGCCCTGAACTTTGACTCCTTCAAGTTAATAGTGGAAAAGAGCTTTTCACACAGATCGGTAGCCTACCCACTAACTGACTTTTTAAAACTTTTGACGAAACCGCACTTTGGCCATGTTTGTCTCATAGAGTGCTATAAAATAAAACCCTTTAGTCCGATTTTAAAACAGTTTTTACCATCATAATCAACGTCCAATTTTTTTATTTTTAAACATAATAAAAAATCAGAATTAGACTAGTCGGTGAGATTCGACTGAAACTGTCGCCGAGGGTCACATTAAGCATACGAGAATGTGGAAAACGCGCGGGCCGCATTAACATTAAACTTTCCTGTCATGTAGAGGGCCGCAAAATATCGTCTCGCGGGTCGCGAATTTGAGACCCCCTGCCCTAGTGCAATTTTGATTTACACGATAATAAGGTTTCCCTTTAGTCTTTAGAATAGTGTTTCCCAAACTTTTTGGTGCCATGCCCGACAGAATGCCATGCCCGACAGAATGGCATGCCCGACAGAATGACAAATAAATGACAGGTTTAAGGAAGAAGGAAAAAGTCTTTAGGAATTTTTAAGGAAACACAGTCAGTAAATTATCTAAACATAATTGAGAACTGAAATTCAAGTACAAAATGAAACATTTTTTTCTAAAATATTGTCAACATTTATTAATTCATTAATTTTTTCATTATTTCCTAATTTTTATTTAGTGCGTAATAGGTCCAATCAGGGAAAGCCACCGTAGATTCAGGAGTTCCACAAGGCACAGTGATGGGGCCCCTTCTCTTCCTGTGTCACATCAACGACCTCCCTGATACTGTAAATTCTCAAGTGCGGCTGTTCGCTGACGACTGTCTTATCTACAGAGAGATAACAGCTACGATGACCACAACCACCTCCAAACAGATTTGAAGTGCCTTATGAATTGAGCGGACAAATGGGGCACAGAGTTGCAACTTTGTACTCTATGAGACCGCGGACCGGCAGCCAATGCAACTCTCTCAGAAGTGTTTTA